TCAAAGATTTAAGCAAATACTATGAAATGGTCGGAGAAGCCACTGCAATGATTTATGCCATTCTTTTTTGACCCCACAAATCAGGTTACACTGCGGCTACATAAGTAACCAACATGCGAGCATTTGACGTGTCCCTTGGCAATAAAATTGGCTCAGAGAAATGTTCGACCGTGACCGATCTTTTGTGCAGAAAAACAACGGCATGAATATGAAATATGGCATATAGCATACCTGTTTGACAGTAGCTTTGGCACTGCGACTGCGTTTCGAAATTGTTGGCGTTTCCTCCGATACCCAGGTACTGGAACTGAACGCAGCCAGCGCTGGCGGCATCGTAACTCCATCGGATGGTAAGCTGTCCGTAAGCGATCGCTTGCCCCGGATCGGTCGGCATGATACAAGCCAGTGCTGTAAAACGAAGGGTCAATGGACAAATGGCCAACAAACGAATGAGTCATCCAAACTAAAATTTACCTCTCTTTGGGCAGCAGAAACCGAGTCCCGTGCAAGGTAGGTTCATGGCCGCTCGGGGCGTTTCGCAAATGCAGTCGTACGCTGTAGGACAGTCTTCGTCTTTGGTGCATTTGACTACCGAGCCCCGAAGCCGTAAAGCTGAGTTTAGTCCGTTCGTTGGACAGCTACCTGAAACAGTGCGCAGTACTGTACTCTGAACGGTAGTCAACCATCTCGTCAGAAGAATTAGCACTTTTGCTCGTCACGTGTGTGGCTACAGTCGATTAGGAATTCAGCAGTATTTTGACGGTAGATGGCAACCGTTTTGGTCGGGGCACTTGCTCAGACGTTCAACAGACGATATCATCCCAGATACACCGCCGAAAGCTACCACGATCCGCCGATGGTACCGGAAAAAGGTGGAACGATGGAAACCAGGTGTTCAGAGCTGACACTGAGGATCTGTTTAGACCGGCAGTGTGTGAGTACAAACTGTGAAAGGAAGTCTGGCTGAACTTTATGGCAGACATTCACGTGATCGACAAAGTTGGAAGCAACGATCCGAGATGCCACTAAAAACGGCTAAGCCAGCGACGGTGGCAGTCACAACAACATCATCAACAACAAGTATCTTGAGAGAGGTTGATTTTCGCACTGAAACAGGCTCAAACATCATGGATTTTTTTAAGTGGTGCGCTTAGCAAAAACAAACCAGGCTCTTCAGTTGCATCAGCTATTGCTTAATGGTAGCTTTTTAACGTAATTGCTAGAAAACGCCTATCAATTTGCAGTGATCATCATCCTCAGTCGTTTGAACTCATAGTCCATAGTCGGTCTGCAATATTCGCAGCAACGTTGGCAATACGTTATACAGTGCAATGTTGACCATGAGGTCTAAGCGAGCGCCGAGTCAAATAATTTTTCCCTCTTACTTCCTGACGTGCACACGGGTCCTTCTATGGTCATTGCTGGCGGTCGTCCAAAGGGACATTGACAAACGAAGTTGGAGGCACACTTCGAACCCGGCCATACGCTGCTGCACTGTTCGTCGTAATGACAGCCACTCTGACCAGGGTTCATTTCTGTAGGAAAAAAAGACACAGGATTAGTAGAAGAAGAAATAAAAGTGAAAGTGAAAGTTTCGTGCATTGTTTGCATACTTGGATAACAGAAATTGTTGATGTTAATGTACGCTTGAGTGCAGTCACAGATCTTCTGCGAATTGCAGTACATCCCGCCGCTGATCGTCTGGCAGTCGATGTTCTGATTGCACGGCTGACCCAATATGTTACCTGTATATAAGCACCGTAGACGCTAGTCGATCGCTGATACCCGTTACCTTGTCTTTTAAAACGACTCATTTCTGAAAGTTGCAGAAGTAGCTGATCGGTGCCGTTCAACTCCCTGGTTTGATCAAACTTCTCAACGCTTTCGTCTCTTAAAAATTATCACGTACGTTAATATGCGAATTAATACGACGTCAGCATTGCTGGAAAAAAAGATGAGCAGGGAATAAAAGACTGGACATGCGGATAGCGCATAAAAATGATCGTTAAACTGAGGCGAAAGCAGATATCAAACATCTTCATTAATTCTTTTATAAAATAAAGTTGAACTTGAACTTAAACAGAACTTAGACGTGTCTGAAAAACGATGACATAGTTCGCTACGTCAAACTTTCCAAAATCCAGAAGATGTCAAACAGCGGTGACTGCTGAATGGTGCTCTACTGTCAATTTGATAATAATTATGCCGTGTACCAGTTTTTTTTGCAATACTGTTATGTGATTTGTTACTTTAGTCCTTGATCCTTTGTTGTGCTACCTCGTTATGATATTTTCTTTATTTATGACAATGATTAAACTTTTTCAAGACTAAATCAGTGCATTAAATGCCCTTCAATTGTGCCAATTAGTGATTCGAAATATGCTTCACGTGATGACCCGCATATCAAATTTACTATGCAAATATTCTTAAACGTTTCGGATAATGCTCGATCAGTCTTCAGGGAAAGACAATGTTAAACGAATAATCTTCCGCTGTAAATTGCCACAATCAAGTGACAACTTCATTATGAAAAATTTTTGCCTCGGCATGGCGGCTGCCTCATAATTTCGTTCAAGTGTAGCTGCGGAACATGCAGTACGAGAAGGAAAATTATGGACATTGTTGTATCAAATGAAAGGAGTATATTATGAGAGAAAAGTTTTCTAAGCCGGAAGATGAAGAAAGGCCTTGTAATTCAATCGAACCAACGCAAGAATGAAGACGACGGTATGGAATTAAGTTTGTACTCCAACGAATCTATGAAGTAGCTTCTACTCGCGATGCTTGGACCTTCATAACGAAGTTGCCAGCTGAGTATAGCGACTTGTATTGTAATATTATTGTTTGATATGACACCTCCCCCTGAAGACGGATCGAACATGGTCTGAAACGTTGAAGAATACTGTAAAATAAATTCACTAT